CTAGAGAGAGTGGAGGAGAGCTCCTCTGTCTCCTGCGCCTTGGCGCCTGGTAGGGGATGACCGGATGGATATTAGCTGGGGAATTGGCAGACCGAAAATGTGGTAGAAGGAAGATCGATGGGGTTCAGGCATGCCACAGAACAGCGTACCCAGGTCGGCCCTTCGCATGTCCTTCTTGGAAGCCCATCTCGAATGGCTTGTTGATGGTTGACGTGCCGGCAGAGACCCAGAGACACGATAGCTTCGATGGCGGAGTCGGTCGTCGCTGTGCAGTCGCATGGGAAATCTGGGGTTGGGGGTGAAGTTGGGGGTGCGGGATTGGAGATGTTGGCCTGAGGTGTCCAACAGTGTGGGGCAGCAAGCCCCTCTGTGGCTTGTGGCGGCCTAGACTCACGAACAACAGGATTGGCAGAAAAGAAGGGGGGAGGGGGTGCGATGTTTGCAGTCGACTTATCGCAGCTTCGGAACAACAGGATGCACCCCTCTCCCCGAGCAGATCGAGATGAAGGGTCCTCGAGGATCTGCCCGTGTTGCTAACAGGGATATCTGAGTGTACGCATAGAACAGGATACTTGCATTGAACAGCACTCAGCGCATGAACTCCGTCGTGAGGACTCCAGAACACCGAGGATGCCAGAGATAGGATCGTCTTGTGTCTGTTGAAGCGATGTGCGGGTTAGCCGGGACACAGATCCGGTTCCGTTACACCACTCTGGGCCTTTGGATGTCCACGTATGATGTCTCCAGTTGTCAGTCAAATCTGCGCGTAGCCAGATGCAACAACACCCCACCATGTAGGTGGTCCTATCTCTCTACCTGGTGTCGAGCTGAGATGCCACGAAAGCCGTGTGCAAGGGCACGGGGCATGGGATCTGCCACTACAGGAGTGAGAAACTCCGTTCCGAGGTGTGAGCTGAAGGCTCGGGCGATGCTTAGATAGTGCCCGGAGCCCCAACGGAAAGCCGTCCTTCACTGGGTTCGCCCACAACCGATAGGGCGATTGGGACCAGGGTCGACAACCACATGTGGAAATTTCGCTCCGGCTAGTTGAGACGGGTAGTCGGGAACTACCACTCGGGGTTCAAGTCTCTACCTATGTAGGTAGGTAGACAGGCAGCGTTGCAGGTGATCAAGATTAGGCCTTTTGAATCCCCAACCCCCAACGATTGCGGAGCGATCGATGCCCGAGACGACGTGGACAAATCATGACATGGAAACGTCAACTGTGCATGGAATAGGAGATAGAGACATTGTGCGGGGTTTTTAATCGCAGCGAGCACTTGTCTACCTATCTCGCCGACTTTTGTTACCTGATCGGTTCGTGTCTGGTCTCGTGACGAAG